CTTTCCCTTCCCTTTCTCCCTCCCTTCCTTCCTTCTTTCCTTCCTTCCCTTTCCTTTCCCTTCCCTTTCTCCCTCCCTTCCTTCCTTCTTTCCTTCCTTCCCTTTCCTTTCCCTTCCCTTTCTCCCTCCCTTCCTTCCCTTCCTTCCTTGCTTCCTTCCTTCCTCAAAAGAAAAGTTAGCAAATGGATGTTCTAGTCATTAGCAAAAGCATTGTTATAGTAAGCCCTGCCCTTCTCCTTTTCTTTTTGTACATCCCCAAAGAAATCCTTTTCATGATGGAAAGCAGTTAATATAAAGAGGGAAATCCTACCAAATTTAGAATACCACCAGAATGCTTGGGAATAGGGCCTTTGCTGAGGGGCAAAAGCCATCCCAAGATGTAGGAGAAGAGGAGAATATGTCATATGAATGACACCAGCAGGAAGAGGTGTGACAGCAGTGTGCCTTGGGAGGCCTGGGGTCAGTATTCAGGCTACTACAGTGCCCTGGCTTCAGCATGCGCCTCTGCTTCTTCTGCCTACTTCTGCCCTGTCCTTTGAGTCTGTGTTCCTCTTCAGGTAGGATTCAGGGAAGGAGTCACCACAGCCACCTGATGACAGAGAAGGTTGTTGCAGTTGAAGTAGAAGAAGTAGCAGCCTGGTAGGCACTGAGGCCGCAGTCAAAACAGCTGACACCTGGGATGACTCAGCGTATGTCAGAGCTCATGGGGAAGAAGGGCTGTTTCTTCGATGATGATTTGCAGTATGCTTGACATTTGTGTGAAAGATTGAAGTGACAGCTCATTTCTAGGCTCTTTTTTAGATACTAGGGTTCAAAAAAATTAAATTAAGTGAAATCTGGAAGTGTTACTCCAGTGAAAATTTAAAATCCTGGCTATCCAAGCGTGTGGACTAGTTGCCTCACGCCCCCGGGTTGCTCTTCAGAAATTCCCCAGCTCCCCAGAGTTTCTGCCCAGAATCATCCTGCTCTACCCCCTCCGGCTGACAGCAATCAGCCCCATCTGTCTGCCTTCCCAGCCTGGGACCACATCATCTATGGGGAAGGAGGCAGCAGGGGACCCCTCACCCCACTCTGAGAGCAATATCGCTCTCCCTTCTCTGTTCGTTAATAGCAATGCCATTTATCAGGCCAGCACTGTGGGCCAAGCCTTGGTCTAAGGCTTTCATTTCGTTGATTATTTTAATTTTAAAGTAGGTTACCAAAGAAAGCTTAGCCATCATCCCTCCAGAGTTTTGTTTAAAAAAATTTAAGCAATTTTAAACTCATAGAAAATCTGCAAGTACTGCACAAATAACTTTTTAATGAACTATTTGAGAATAAATCGACAACCTAATGCCCTTCACCCCCCGAAATGTCCTACAAACAAGGGCATTTTCTTGCATAACAAAATTAAATCATCCACAGCAGGAAATTAGCAGTGACTCATTCCTACCATCTAATCCACAGGCCTTGTTTGCAGTGCTCCAAATGTTCCAGTGATGTACTTTGTTTTTATTTTTGGTACCGGGGATCGAACTCAGGACCTTGTTGCTTGCTAGGTAGGTGCTTATGCTGCTGAGCTACCTCCCCAGCCCCCAGTAATGTATTTTAATAAAAAGATCCAGTTCAAAATCACTGGTTGTGTGTTTTTTTTTTAAACATTGCCTGTATTTATTTATTTATTTATTTGTTTGTTTATTTATTTATTTATTTTTGCAGAACCGGGGATTGAACTCAGGCCCTTGTGTTTGCCTGGCAAGCACTTATTACACTGAACTATCTCCCAGGCCCCACCTGTTGCGTTTAATGGTTTTGTTTCTTTTCAGTCTCCTGCAGTCTGGAACAGTTTCTCAATTTCTCCCTGATTTTCAGGAACTTGGGCATTTGTGAAAAATGCAAGCTGAGAAGTATTTTCCCCATTTCCCTACAAGAGGACCAGAGAGAGGCCAGCACCGCCTTCCCTCCCTTCTACCTGCCTATGATGCTGCAGTAGACACAGGCCTGTTGGGAACTGGGCAGAGGCTCTCGGCCTAGCCAAGTACAGTGGAGTTTCCTTAGCTTTCCCTCTCTCTCCCTCCCTCCCTCCCTCCCTTCCGTCCGTCCTTCCTTCCTTCCTTCCTTCCTTCCTTCCTTCCTTCCTTCCTTCCTTCCTCTCTCCCTCCTGCCCTGCCCTTCATGCTTGAGGAGGGAGCATAGGACATAGCTCCAGGCATTCTGGGAACTCTGATAGTGGGAAGTCTGTCCCTACCATAGCACTCTCAGAAGACAGTCTTTACTGTTGGGTGCAGCAGGCTTTCTGGCCTCCCTCCCAATTCTCATTCTTCTGTCCCCAGGCCATTTGGCTGCTGGAGACCTGGCTAATGAGGAGAGGAGGAGAACCAGAGCCAGCCATGGAGTAGTTTATTTTCTGTTTTTTTCTGTAACTTGACCTTTGTTCAGACCTGACCTTTGTCCTCTGTTTCTGTGTCCACAGCATTTGGGTGGCAAATAGCCTTCCAGGAAGGCCTTCCAGCTAGGTATGCTGCATGCTGGTCCTCAGGCTGCCTCTGCCCACTGAATCCAGGCAGTCAGTCCACTTCACATTGTCTCATGATTACTTTGCTGTTGGTTGTCCAGGAGTTGGTCCGCTTTCTAATTAGGTTCCCCGTATCTTAGGTGAAGGACATGGGCTTCCCCACCTTTTGCTGTATCTTGCAGTGGCTTGTCATGAGTTGCCTTAGAGTCGGCCTTCTGCAAATGTCTGTTAGGTCAACAAATGCCTATCCACATATGTTCTGTGTGTGTTCACGGATGTCCATGTTCTTTGGATGGCTACTTGTCTTTGTACCATAGACATTCTAGTAAAGTCTCTGCTTTAAAGATAAGATAGGTAGGCCAGGTATGGTGGCCCATGCCTGTCATCCCAGCACTCGGAGGCTGAGGCAGGAGGATTGCCAAGAGTTCAAGGCCAGCCTGGCCTGTAGAGTGAGTTTAGGACAAGCCTGAACTACATAGTGAAGCCCTGTCTCAAAGTAAAATATAAAATAAATTAAAGATAGGGAAGCATGGGCCAGGGAGATAGCTCAGTAGAATAAGCACTTGCCTGGTAAGGTCCTGAGTTCAATCTCCAGTACCTCAAAAAAAAAAAAAAGAAGCTGAGACCCGGAAAGGTTGTGTGACTCGTCTGAGGTGATACCTCAAATGATAGCAAAATTGAGCTTCTTCCCTGAAGCTCCACCCATTGCAGCTTGCCCTTCCCCTCATGTGGAGCAGGTACGCATGTATTTATTATGGCTATTAAGTTATCAGGGACATGGATAGTCAGAGCTCTGTAAAGTAGACTAGCATTTATCTATGACCCAAAGAAACAATTTTAAGGGCTGGGGAGATAGCATGGCCGTCTAAGTGCCTGCCTGGCAAGCACAAGGACCGGGGTTCGATCCCTGGTACTGCATGCTATGCCAGCCATCCAGACCCAGAAACGCTGTGCTGATCCCCAAAACGGGCATGGTGTGCATGCCTGTCATACCAGTGCTGGGGAGATTCAGACAGAAGGATCACTACGAATCTGAGCTGCATAGCAAGACCTTGTACCAAATAAATAAATAAAAGATTAAAAAGAGAAAGAAAGAAAAAATTTTAGCTGAGCATGGTAGCATACACCTGTAGTCTCAGCACTCAGAGGGCTAAAGTAGGAATAACAGCACGATTTCAAGGCCAGCTTGAACTACATTAGGAAAACCCTGTCTTAACAAACAAAACAAAAAGTTATTTTCATCAAATGGGTAGAATTGCACAAGTTAAGTAATTGAAATTATTTTAACAAAGTCTTAGGGACTGCAAGATAGCTCAGCAGACTGAGCACCTGCTTAGGCAAGCACAGGAACTGAGGGTTCAATCTCCAGTACCACATGCTGCACCAGAGCCACCCCTGGGTGCACTGAGCCACAGAGACCAGGCATAGTGGCGCATACCAATAACCCCAGTGCTGAGGAGGCTGAAAACGGGAGGATCACCCTGAGTCCAAGCTGTGTAGCAAAACCCTGTACCAAATATTCAAATGAAAAAAAATTAAATGCATAAAATTAGGTACTATAGATAGGATTACAAAGAAAAAATGCTGAAAACAGTTACTGAAAAATTTTTAAACAAATGTGTTTATAAATGAATATGTGTTTTCATTAGTGCATAAATAATGAGATCTAGCATGAGGTCTATGATAAGGTCAAAGCCAGATGTCTTAGTCTGCTCAGGCAGACATGATAGAGGCCCATAACCTGAAGGCTTCGGCGGCAGCAGTGCCGGAGGCTGGTGGTGCAGGCTGCAGGTGCCAGCAGCTGGTTCCTGGTGAGGTGTGCAATGGCAGCCGTCTTCGCAGTGTGGCCGTGTGGCCGTTCCTTGGTGCTTGCACATGGAGAGAGAGAAGGTTCATGCTCATATTCTCTCTCTATCTCTCCTCTCTTCCTCTTCCTTTCCCAACAAGGGCACCAATCCTATTGGGTTAGGACTCCACCCCATGACCTCATTTAACTTTACCTCCTAAAACCCCTTTACAAATGCAGTTATAAGAGTAGTTAAGCCTTCAGCACATGGATTTTATGGGAATGTTTGCCTACGGAGCAAACAACTGGTGTAACCCTGGGCCAGAGAACAGCTTCTGAAGCAACCGATTATACCATTGCCAGGTAACTCCCAGGAGTTACTTGTGCCAAGCTGAAGGGGGCATCCATCACCTGTTGCTGACTTGTGTTCTGATGTTTGCAGTTGTGAGTTTGAGAATTGGAATGTGCTTTGTCTTTCAGACAGCAGCAGCCTAAATACTGAACAAAAAGACTCCTGGTCATGTGAAGATCTCGGGCTTGACCCTTCTTCCAGCGGCCAGTTGAAGGCCAAGGAAGAGGACAGTGGACTTCGAGAATCCCTGGACAGATTCTACGAAGTGTTTGGCCGTCCCCAGCCAGCCTCTGAGGACTCACTCTCAGCATCTGTCTGCCAATGCCTGTCTCAGAAGATCGCCGAACTGAGGGGGCAGGGGAGTCAGAAGTACGCCCTCCGCACCTTCCAGGTGGCGCGGGTCATCTTCAGTCGGGATGGCTGTTCAGTCCTGCGGAGGCATTGCAGGGCCTCCCGCTTCTACCCACTGCATGAAGGGAGCGAGTCTCTGGATGCTGAAAAGCAGATCCCAGGGCTTTCAAAAGATATTATCCACTTCCTCTTGCAGCAGAACCTGATGGAAGACCTCTAACTGGGGCTGGTGGTGGACGCAGGCAGTCCTGGAGGTGAGGAGCTGTGGCCGGTGCTCTGCGTGGTCCTCTGAAGTCCCTGCTAGCTCTGCGCCCAGCCCTAGCCAAGTGCTTTGCAGTTGAAGGTTGGCACCTGCGACCTGGCCCTGGAGCCACTCAGTCATATGGAGAGCCCTGTGGCCACTACCTCCGGTGCCCCACTCACCCAGGACTGAGACTTTACAGGACACCACAGCCTTGCTGGGCTCCATGCTTCCCTCCTCTTCTGCCCCTGCCTTGCTGGTGGGAGTCTCTCCTTAATAAGCCTGTATCTCCGTCCTGGACTCAGGGCTTATGCCCGGGAGAGCCCAACCCAAGGAACCAGGATTCAGGGAGATGAGCTTTGTGAAGAATACAAAGCTCTTCACTGAATCAAGGATAAGAATTGTACCAGGTTGCAAAATAGAGGGCATATGATGGGGAACAAAGATGTCAAAATAAAGATTTCAATACAGATCCAAAAAGTACCTTACTCCTTAACCGTACCCCTTTTCCCTCTCCAAGGCCAGATTCCTTGTTTCATAATAATAACGGAATGTGGACAGAATATTCAGACCATCTAACCCTAAATTCACAAGTTAAAAGCACAAAGGTTTCTTTGTCTCCATCAGATTGCAGTGTGAAGCTGAGAGGAATAAACGTGTGCCACCCACTCCAGCTAGGTGTGGGCCTACTCATTCCCTCGGAGGTTGCCCTGTGGCCTTGCCAGTTTTTGCTCCAAAGAAGTGAGCTTTGCCCAATGGTGTCCTGCTTTGTCCTGCTTTCTCTTGTCACTTCTGTCTTCTGCGTGTCTGCTGTCTGCATCCCTTCATCCTCTGAGGAGTAAGCCCTCACGTCCACCCTACCTTTGCTCTGCATGCGAAGCTCCAGTGCAGACCCTCACCCAGGACAGGAACTGCGGCGTCCCTGCAGCCCTCCACACAGTGCTTTAGGTAGCCTACCAGGCTGCCACTGGCAGGGACTGTGCCCATTGGGTCGTGTTTTGAGCCCTGGTTTGAGATTCTTGGTAGAATTTCATCAGAAGCCTTACATGAATCCCTATGTCGACAGTTCCAGAGGATTCCATGGACACGAAGGGCTCCATCATTTGTTTGGTGAAACAACGGGAGCTGGCAACTCTGCAATTAGATTTTGAGAAACTGGAGGTGAAGTTTAGCTGACAGAAGCCTCCAGAAGCTTTCCAGAAAGCAGATTATGCGCCTAGAGCAGGATGAACATGTAGGTTAAAAATGAAGGCATTGCCAGATAGCTCAGCGGACTAAAGCGCCTGCTTAGGCAGGCTCAGGGACTGGGTTTGATCCCTAGTGTGCTGTGTCGGCCCCACCCCAGGGGCACGCTGAGGTGGTGACTGAGACTGGGTGTGATGGTGCACACCTGTAATCCCAGCACATGGGAGGCTGAAAACAGGATCACTACGAGTCCGATTTGTGTAGTGAGTCCCTGTAGACCCTGTACGGGTCTCTCAGGAAGGTGTTTTGGGGCCTTTTGGGCAGAGAAGCCTTTTATTTTATTTTTCAATTTGGAAACAGATACTTTGTTAACTGACCAAATCATAAAAACACCATGGTAGATACTTTAGTTCATCCTTTTAATAAGCCTGTTGATCTGGTCTTCCCTATTTCCAGCATCTCCACTTTCCATTAAATGGGTGGTCTTTTTCTTCATTCCATCTTGAGGAGATGATAACTTGAGCAGCCACAGGAAATTATTTGCCTCTTTGAAGCGTTTTCCAACAATACAGATCTCGTGAATCAGATCCTCCATGCAGATGATTCCATATTTACCAAAAGATCAAGCAATCAGTGAATTATCTGTCAAGGCAACTCACTTCTTAATAACTTTGCCAAGGGCTGGTGAGATGGCTCAGTGGTCTAAAGCACCTACTTAGAACAAGCTCAGGAAAGCACAGGGACCGCAGTTCAATCCCCCAGCACCACATGCCAGCCGGCCCCGCCCCCTGGTGGGCTGAGCTGGCCACACACACACACACACACACACACACATATAAATAAATAAAAATTAAACATTTGCCATTAAAAAAACAATAATAATTTTGCCAAAGCCATGCTTGTATATTAGTTCGTTCACTGACTTTAGGTTGGGTGCCCCCATGCAATGTGTGGCTCCACAATCCTCAGCATGTTAATTGAAGCCTTGTTGAGCTTAACGAAGGTACCACTGAAGATTTGGCGAAGGCGAAGAAGCTGCAACACCTTGCAGACACTTGGGCTCACACCATTGATAGCCCTGATCTGGATGACAAATGCCAGTTTGGGCTCTGCAGGGACGTAGAGGTTGCCAGCTTTTCTCGCCATCCTAGCCATTCGGATCTCAGTCCTGTACATCTGTCTGTACTCCTTATGATAGTGTCTGGCTTTTTCATAGATGAGATTCTCCTCTTCTTGTGAAGCATCTTCTGGGCAAACTTCTTTCTCAGGCGCTTTATGTTCAGCTCTGCAAAACGTTTTCGCTTTTTCTTAAGGGTTTCTGGCACAGCAGGAACCTTCTTTTTTTTCTCTTCTATGCCCTCCATGGTTCCAGCCGGAAAAGAGAGAGAAGCCTTTTAAAGTTTGCAACAACACTGAGAGCCTCTAGTTCAGGGATGATGAGGGGAGAAGCTCGCTGAACTGAGGGGCAGAGACAAAAGTGGAAGGAGACCTGCTGCAGGGAAGTAGAGATGAAGAGGCCTTCAAGCGGCCCTGGGAAAAGGGAGAGTCCAGGTTCTCCTCTGACAAGCAAGTGCCTGCCTCCTATTCATGGGGCCCGAATAATTGAATAATTGTGAGACCCGTGGGACTTATAGTTGAAAACCTGCATGTTCAAATTTAAGGATGCTGGTTTTCTTTGTTTTTTTAGTGTGAAGCATATCAATAGATGCCTGTGAAGTACATTGTCTTCTTTAGTATTACTTCACCACGGAAATCTTTGCAAGTAGTCTCCATGGCTGTCAAAAGAAGGAAGCTGGATTTTTTTATGTTGTCTTTACAGAGTAAGAGAAAGTTGCCATTTGGATGTCCATGGTGGAAGTAGCAGCTTTAGTTTCACAGGGAGATTTTAGTACCAGAAAACGTAAACCCTTCATTAGCCCCCTGCCCGGAGTGCTCAGGAAGCGGAAGACAGAGCAGAGAATGCAGAAACCTCAAAGCTAGAATCGCGCAGGGTGGAGGGGTGTGGTGTGTGTTCCTCCGACTGTGTAAGTGCTTGTGACAGCTCAGAACAAGATACTTGATTCTCTGCAGCCTGCTCCTTAATTTGATCTCTGTGAGGTGAGGGTAACATTTTCCACTGATCTCTGGAAACCTCTAATAAAGAGTAAAAGATACAGATGCCGAGGCTCTGGCCTCAGGCATTATTGTCCAAGTCGGCCCTCCGATCACTTTGCTGCCATCTTTTCATCCTGAGAACATTGTGGCTGGCCTGTGATCTCGTCTGTGGTCCTTTTCAGACCCACAGGGGCCCTGGTGAAGACAAATTTGCTTGCAGAAGCATCAGAACTTGATCGAGAGCCACTGTCTGTGTGGTACAATGGAGCAGTGTCATTCGTCTCATTAGTCTGCTGCTTAGGACGGCGCTGGGAGTCAGACCCAGCTGGGGGCCTTGCTCCTCCGAGCAGGTATTCCCCAAGAGCCACCCCTATCCAACCTCTTTGTCGGGCATGCCCCAGGGTCCAGGGAGCATGCCTTATTACCTGCAACTGGCACAAAACAATATAGCAAGACTTGCAAGGCATTTAAAGCTTTTTAAATGTTTTATTGGGTTATAATTATACAGAAATGTGCATATTATCAAAGTGGCCACCTGGATGGCTTTTGCACACCCAGCCCCACACATCCAGGCTTTTGTATGAGTGACAGGGATGACCAGCTAGCTGTCATGGCCCCATCTAAGCAGCGGTGCTTTGGCTGGTGTTTCTCCAACTGCTAGGAGCACGGTAAAGTCACGTTAGATGCTGCATGAATAAAGTTAATTTTAATTGTGGATCTGTTCAGGTCAGTATATAAGTACTACATCAAATCCCGTGACCAACCTGTAGCTACCTTTGCCTCTCCTTATCTTGTAGTCACAATGCAAATTCTTTAATAATGTAAGACGTGCATGAATAGCCAGGAAGGTAAAAAGAGAAATGAAATATGAAAATATTCTAACTCTATGATAGAAGCAGCAACAAAACAGAAATAGACCCTCAAAGGAAAGGAGCCTCTACATGGATGTACCACCCCGCGGCTGGAGGTTGAGCGCTGCAGGTGATGAAAGCGCCACTCCAGAGCCTTGATGGAAAGGGAGCGCCGTTAGCAAATGATCTTAGTGTGACTGGCTTCCCACTTTGGCAGGCGCTGTGCCATGGAGCTGTACCGCAGCCCAGGTGGCCCCCACTTCAGGACAGGGAGAGTGAAAAGGCTGCATTCTCCCTCCCATGTTTGTTTGTTTGTTTGTATTCTAGGGAAGGGTCTATGGGGTGTTCAGGGTCTCACTACTAGATTGAACTTGTGGTGATCTGCCTGTTTACAGACTCCCAAGAACTGGGATTACTTGTGTGCACTACCACACCCAGTCTCAATTGCCATCTCAGCATGCCCCGGGGGTGGGGCCAGCATGGCAGGCCCTGGGATCGAACCCCCAACCCTGCACCTGCTTGCAGGAGCTTTAATCCTCTGAGCTATTTGGCCGGCCCTTCCCTCCCACGTTTATATCAAAATGAATTCTAGGCGAGCACTTACTCTACTGAGCCATCTCCTCGGCATCAAAATGAATTCTAGATGACTTAAGAGCTTCAAAGTAAGAATCATAAAACTGCTAGGCTAAAATGTGGGTAATAAATATATATAGTATGTGTAAGTACTTATGATTTATATACACATATTTATGAGCTAGATCGATAGCTAGATCTTGGGAAAAAAGGTAAGTCTGAGAATGGTTGAAACAATTTGATTAAATTGACTAAAGAGTGGACTAAAAAAGCCTGCTTAGGCAGATCGCAGCAGCCAGGGTTCAATCCCTGGCATGCCTTGATAGTCCTGCCCCCAGGGTACAATGAGACAGGGATTGAGATTGGGCGAGATGGGGTTCACCTGTAATCTCAGCTCTTGGGAGGCTGAGCACAGGAGGATCACTATGCGTCCGATCTACATAGTGAGACCCCGTGGACCCTCCAGACCCTGTCCTAAATACAGGGGGGGAAAAAAGGTCAAAACTGGGATAGATGCTTAGAGCACATATAACAGGCACTCCTGTGACAAACAGAATTCATACACATCATTAGAAAAATAACCAAAGGGCCAGGGAGATGGCTCAGTAGAGTAAGTGCTTGCCTGGCAAGTGCAAGGGCCTGAGTTCAATCCCCGGTTCTGCCAAAAAAGAAAAAACCAAAAAAGTAAAAAAGAACCAAAGAGAAAAATTGACAAAGGACATGAAAAGGTAGTTAGGGAGGAAAACCCACAGAGATGTGCTATAGCTTATGGTGGGCTTATGTCCTAAAA